AGGGAGTGGGAAGGGGGAAAAAACCTAATTTTAGAAAGAGGACAGTAGCAAATGGAGTGGGAAGGGAACTAATGGTTCCTACTGGGCAGACCAGCAGAAAAGAAAAGCAGACCCCACAGACCTTTATAGCACGTGCCCAGAGCAGCAGCTTCCTGCCGGGGAGGGCTCACCACCACTCCAAAAAAAAAATGTGCCTGACGTCCCTACAGTGTGACTGTCTCCGCATCTCTTCCCCAGCCTCTTACTTCCCTGCCAAAGGAGGCTGGGAAGGGACCTGCCCTGCTGGCAAGAGTGAATGAGTGAGGTGTGCCTGCCCTCCTCAGTCAAGTGGGTTTCTAAACCCTGGGTGTGTGAGTGAGTGTGTGTGTGTTTGTGTGCACGCGCATGTGTACATTGTCAAGGCAAACCCCCCTGGGAGGGAACCGGTTGGCCAGGCACCCGGCACCTCTGAGATTGAAGGGGAAGAAGAGTTCTGGCCTCAGCTTAGGAGCCAGGAACTGAGCAGCTGCAGGACAGAGGTGTGGGGGGCCTCCCAGGGGTGAGGGGAGCTCTGCCTACCTGCTCACTAGAGCCTCCCCAGCTCTGCCGCCACCCCCCATCAGGGCCCACTTCCTCCTCCGCAACAGTGGGCTTTGAGAAAGAGTGGGAAGGTGTGCCCGGCTCTTAGGCATAGGGCTCTGCCAGCCGCTGAGTACCTTGGGAACAGGGTAAGAGCTGTTGGCCAGGAGATGACAAGTCAAGTTTCTCCACTTCAGGGCCAGCTTCCAGCAGAGACAAAGCAGAAGAGGTGCAAGGACAGAGGACACCGAGCTGGGAGTGCTGAGGGCAGCTTGGCTCTCTCTTGCCCTCCTTGCTGAGGGATAACAGAGCCAAGTGTCCGCAGCTGTGGCCTTCCGGCGTCAGGCCACATCTGCAGCCCCAGATAACCTGGCCCTAACTTGCAAAATGAAATAAACTCCAAATGACGATATGTTTAAAGGGAAAATGCTTACACAGTTATTACCCTCAATTTTTACAAGAAAGAAAGGAGAGAGAGAGAGAGAGAGAGAATGAGAGAGAGAAAGAAAAAGATTTCGTGGAATGACATGTTGATTTCTATTCGATAAGCGAGCAACGTACTGAATGACTGAATGTCGGCAGAGGAGGCCCGGCCCCGGGTGGTAGGGAGAGGCCTCCACTCAGAAAGCCTGAGAGCTGAGCTACCCCGCAAAAGACACTCAAGAACACTCACACCGTCGCCAAGACCTTCGACTCTTCAGACCCTCCGAATAAAAACCTGAAAAAGGAGCCTTTCTTTCCATCCTTCCTGCCTCTGCAGCTAATGAACCGTCCCCTTTCCAGCAGTGTTGAGGATGAGGGGGGAATGAAAAGCGTTATTAACCTTCCCTTAAACACAGGTTTGTTTGTTTTTTGTTTGTTTTGTTGTTGTTGTGTTTTTTGGCAAAACACATAGAAATGCTGCAGAAAGACTACACTCCAAGTGCCGAATGGAATAAAGAAGACCTTTGCCAGGGTAATGGCCAAGTAATGACAAATACACTAACTTCCTAGAAGGGGCCTCTGCCTCCATGGGGCCAGCGTTTTTCCTCCTCAAAAGCAGTGTAAAATAAACTAAAATGTACTTTTTACCAAAGCTCTGTTTTTTAAATTTTTTTTTAAGGATGAAGGAAAATGTAAGTAGGTAGGCATACAAGGAGTGCAAGCTGGAACCTGGGTGCACGTTTCCATTATTATCTTAGGTATTGGGCTGCCAAGGTGAGTTTAAGCACGGAAGAAAGGGTCGCCAACTACCTTACCTACTTCAAAACCTCTTTTTAAACAGAGATCAAGTGTACAAGTAACAAGTGCCCCTAAGTCTCTATGAGACTTCTGGCGAGGCAGAAGCTGAGGGGGCCAGGCATTGCAAATTCGTTCATTGCAGTAATTGAAACCCTGCGAGCATCACTTTAGGAAAGGGGAGCAGAAGGTGGTAGTTCCTTCGGATTTCAGGCTCTAGATAAACTGAGCAGATCCAACCTCATTCCTTTCCCATCATCAGGAGAAAAGCTGTTGCAACTGGCATTTCTTACACGGCCCAGGTGCTATCCTAGCTGCTTGAGAAAATGGCTGGGAGACTCCCGAAGCTGCCGGAGTGGGCTTGGCTTTTATTTTTCTTTTCTTGAAAAATGGGAATAAAAGCCCAGGACTTTAGGCAATACAAATGTCAGTCTTCTTGCCTTCTCCTTCTTTATTTTTTAATTAAATAATTTACTCCTCCAAATGATTGCAACGAATTTATCGGTTTAAACTATTATGTTTTGGGGTTTTTTTTAAGCCCTATAAGTTGGAAAATAGGTTTTGCACTCATTCTGGGTTTAACTTCAGTGGGTACTTTCTGGGTCTGTGGTTCCTACTTTTGGTCCATGGGATCCTGTACGGAAGCCAAGACTGCAACAGGACTTGGCCACCAAAGAAATTCATTTACAAAAGACAAAAAGAATAAGCAATAGAAAAAACTGTTTCTATGTGACTTGCTTCTACTGCATTGTTTACTTTTGCAATGATAAAGGTAGGTTTGTTGTTTTTTTAAAGTATGCTGGTCACACTGCCCCTAACCCCTCAAAAAGAAAGAAACGGGTGCAGACAGAGCTGCAAAGTTTTCGTTGGATTGCACCGCAGGGGTCACCACGCGCTTGGAAACTCACGCACCACGCGGGGGAAGGAACTAGCGCTGCGAAATACAAAAATGCATACTTTTAATATGATTTCCTTTATTACCCAGATTGTGACTGAAGAATTGCATAAAGCAGCACCTCGGTCTGAGAAAGGCAGCCGCGGTGGACAGCTGGAACAGCGCGAGCAGGAACCTGAGGCTTAGCAAGGAAAGTTTGTAAGAGTTCGTCTCTAGTTAGCAGAAAGCAACAGCGGCATCCTTGGAGACACTAGAAATAAAGTTAATGGGTCTCCAACTGCATGAATGACAACTATCACCAGATCAGAAAAGAGGCTTGGTTTCTGTCTATGCAGTGGTCTGAGCCTCCGGGAATATTTTAATACGACAGCATACAGCTTGGCAGTTAAGAGTTGAAAAAGTTGCTCAAGAAAATTCGAAGGGTTTTGTGTTCTGCTTTCACTTCTGCGGATACCCGGCATGAGGTGCACGAAGCCGTCGGCTTTCATTTCACAATTTACTCTTGGTTGCAATAGGCTCTCCACCCCCCTCCCCGCCTCCCCGCCCGTCAACCCTCATCTCTCTCTCTCTCTCTCTCTCTCTCTCTCTCTCTCTCTCTCTCACACACACACACACACACACACTCCTAACCTTTAGTCGTAATTGAAGTCCCCAGGCCTGCAAGCATATATACATTTATTCCTTCTCAGATGAAAATAAAGACATCGGCCTCATTTAAAAGCAAACAGGAAAAACAGGAATTCCACCGGTGCGCTTTGACAATGTCGCAGCTAAGTGAAATGAACAATATCCAAAAGAGAAACAGATGGACTGCAAAACCAAAGAGCCTTAGATTTAGGTTGATCCCTGAGACCAGGGCGAAAGGAAACATACTGGGAAGTGGGGGAGTGCTTGGGTGAGGACTGGACGAAGCACTGGAAAGGCGCCTACAGTGACAGCATCTCGCTAGGCTAGACCGCGCACTCCCACCGCCAAAGAAATCCTGCCGGCCGAGCCGGAATCTGAGGCTTCCTTCTGCGCGGCTGCTGCGGGAACACCAGAGGCTGCTGGCATGAGGCATACTTAGTTTTAATACGCAAGGAGGGGAGGCTGAGAGACTAGGGATTTCACTGGGAAAAAAAGCATTTCACCCACCACCTCCCACCTCTTTTCCCTCCAGTCCACAAGCAAAACAATTAGTTCTGTTTCCAGCAAGTGGGAAATCGAACAGCGGCCTGTCCTCTCCCGAAGCTACCCCAGCCCCACATGCCGACACCTCGCGGAGGAGCACTTTAGACTGCCCCGAATCTTCATACTGCGGAGTCCCCTTAGACTCGGGGTAAAAGCATTTAGACAAACCCAGTCCTGTTGCCTACAGTTCCGGTTGACACTCGTACCATCTCAGTGTCGGCTTCGCGGACAATGCCAGGAGAAGTCACCCAGCACTTTTTCTGCAAGAAGAGTGGGGGATGGGGTCCCGCCGCCCCCACACGGAAGGAACCCAATTGCCCTCATCCCGCTTGTCCCAGGCCGCTCCACGTGGAGCACACAGAGGCGCCGGGGAGAGTTAGTGACCCGAGACTGGGGCTGCGTCCAGAAAGAGAGAAGCCTCCGCTGAGTCTACGCCGCCGCCCAAAGTCCCGGCAGCCCGCCCCCTGGGGGTCACTCGGCGCCCCGCCAGTTGAAGCTCAAGGGCCGGAGCGCGCCCTTTCGGCCCCCTTCTCGGAGGCGGCAGTCGCCGCTGGCTCCGCGCCCTCCACTCCCAGCTTTCCACGCGCTCGCGGGGCCTCTTCTCTCCCCACCTGCCCGCGGCTCTGCTCAGCCCGTAGCTCTGCTCTGCCCGTGAGCCCCACACACCCTGCGACAACAGCCCCCACCCTCGACTCCCCACTCCCCACCCCAGCCCTCGCGCCTTGCACGCTGGAGAGTACAGCTGAGCGCACAGCGCCCACTACCGCAACCGCAGCTCGGCGCAGCCCGCCAGCCCGCGCAACTTCCAGCGGCCGCCTCGCAACTTTTCCCAACTCCACCACTCCTGCCTGCCGCTGCCACCACAGTGGCTCCCTCGGAGCCTGCCACCCACCCCAAACCCCAGAAACAAACCAAGGACCAAAAATGCTCCTTTCCCCAGCCCGCCCCCCCCACCCTCCGCTCCCCCTCCCACACCCGGGACTTGCTGGTTGGCCAGAGGCAACTCTCCTCCGCCTGGGGGGAAGGGGAGGGGAGGGGGAGACTCTCTCATCTCCTCACCCCCCCACTCCACCCCTTCCCGCTCGCTCTCGCGCTCTCTCCTCCCTCCCACCCTAGTCTTTGCTGCCCCCACCCCCACCCCCACCCCGGGGTTGCCACAGCTGGTCCGTGCGCAAGGCTGAGGTCTGCCCGGCTCCTCTGGCGCCCAAACCAGGAGCGAGAGCGCGGGCCCGCGGCCGGACGCGGAGGCTGGGACCGGCAGGTTGCTGGGGCTGCGCTGCGCCTGCCCTCCACCCGGGGCCCCAGAGCGAGAGGCAGCCCCGCGCTCCCTCCCGGACCGCTGGAGACAGATATGCAAGATGGCAGAGGAGGGGGAAAGCCAATAGAAAAGGGATATTGCACCTACTTGTGGCCAGTTTCCTTGCCCTGCCTTTGGATCTCATGCTGTGCCCAGTCCTGCAGCCGCTGGTGTGTGGTTGGGTTTTTTTTTTTCTTGGATCTTTTCCTTCTTTTGCTCTCCCTCTCGCTCCCTCCCTCTTCTCTCTCTCTCTCTCTCTCTCTCTCTCTCTCTCTCACACACACACACACACACACACACACACACTCACTTACACTCTCTGTCTTTCCCTCTTTCACTCTCTCTCCCTCCCTCTCTCCCTTTCTCTCAATCCACACTCGCTATCTCTCCAGCATTGTCAGTTTGGACACCTTCGCACATGCGCGCTAGACGCCCCTCCAACATCTCAGCGCCGCCAAAAAAAGTTTGGAGCGATTTATCACTTTGATTTGGAGATCTTGTCAGATGGCAATCGCCGAGGAGGCGGAGAAAGGGAGCCACGGGGAGGGCGGCGGGGGGCGGGGAGCGAGCACGGGGAGCCAGAGGGGAGCAGACACTTCGCCCCCCCACCCGAAAAAAAGGAATGAAAAGACTCGGGCAGAGTATTGATTTGGTGTTGGAATCACCAATAAGCCTGAATCATAACTATTACTGTTTTCCCACTATAAATTGCAGGAAATTTTCTATACCGTCCATACCAAGAAGGCGGGGCTGGGGAGGACTTTTTAAATCTTTCCCGTACTAAACAACTAGAAGGACTGGACTCTCGACGAACGATCCAGGAGAAAGTGAGATTCATCCTGAACTCCGGGAAATCTGATGCTGCCGCTGCTACTGCTACCGGAGCTATTGCGGCTTCTGCTTTCAGAGTTGAAAGCAGAATAAATGTTTCTTTCTCGATTTTAGGTATAATGCCAATGCTTGTCTCCACCCTTGGAACATTTTAGTGACCTATTCCCACCAAATAGTAATTTTCACCTTTGAATCGTAGGTCCAGGCAAGCTCGGGCATTTGATATCCAAGACCTCCTGCCTTCCCTGAGGTCGGCTGTCACCTTCCGGCCTCCCCCACCGCTGCCCCCCGTCGCCTCCCGCTGCAGCTCAGCCTGCCTGCCATTTTCACTCATTCGCTTAAACCCACAACCTCCGGGGTCGTAAGAAGAAGGAGGTGGGGAAATCCATCCCCCACCCTTGAAAATTACATTGTTGAAATTTGCTTTTATTACAGGATTTACCAAGGAAGTGTGGAGCAGAAGTGTTCAAGGTAGACTCAATTCCAACTACGTATAGATTTTCTCTTGGTACAATCTCCTTGCATTAAAGAGTTTTGTCCAATACCTTCCATGAGCTATTTATGTCCCCATTAATATCTGTTGCAAATCCTGCCAGACACCATAAAAGAAAATTACAATCTTTTCAGTCTGTGTGCTGCAACAATACATCCTTGATGTTCAAGCTAAAGAAAAGGAAAAAGAAAAACAGGTCCTGGTCGTGAGTTTGGCAAAGACGGGGGAGGGGAAGGAAGATCACTGAGAATGGGCGGTTGTGCCTGTTGTCATTTATTGTGAAAACCAGGACTAGGGGTGTGAATGAGCAAATAGTTCAACCCCAAAGGGCAGCCATCAATGGTTCACAAATATCTTTATTCAAGAAAGTCAAAATTTGAAGGATTTACCATGGCTAAGAATGTCCACCGTTTCTCTTTCTCCAAAGCTGTGTAATTCTGGGGACATTTTGGCTAAAAGATACAAGTCCCTGGAGAACCAAGGTATGGGTCCCAAGGGAGACAGATGTGTAATATTGAAATGTGAGAAATGGAAGTAGGAATAAGACAGCTTTCAAAAGAAAAGTCTCTCGTGCCCACACACATGGGCACAGGAGAATCCCACCATTCTTTCTGAACCAGAGAGGCAGGTGGGGGGTTTCCCTCAGTCCTTCTACAATACCTGTTGCCCTGTGCATGCAGGTGGTGTACTTATACATCTGGTAGGTGCAGAAGCACTAGGCACTTCAACATTCTGAGTGTGGGTGCCCAGGGATCTGTGAATTTGAGTTCACTGGCTTTTCTCAGTTTAGATGGAGGAGTGCCTTCACTCTGACCAGTAAGTGTCCTTAGGGGAAAAGGAGAAACGGGGGTTGAGAGCTTTCAGAAAGGAAGTAAAATCTCTAGGAAGAGAAGCATACTAGGCTAGCCAGCAAGGAGTTCACAGAAACTGCTTTAAGGGATTCTCTGGGAACCCTCACCTTAGGCCAGAGGACAGAGGGGCTCTGCTGGAGCATCAGGCCCCTCCCAGGGGTCAGACCCTACAGGGCCCTGGCTCCCAGGAGAGGAGGTGGAGTCCACTGGGGAAGGAAGGAGAATATGACTGGGACATTTCATCTCACATTCTCACCCCCGGAGGTTAAAAAATAAATAAATAAAAGGAATTACCAACCTCCCCAACCATTGCTCTCCTTAATGCCTTTCTTCTCGTCCCCCAGGGGGTCTGCATCTGGGTCCCCTTGTAGAAAGGAGGTTAAGAGGAATGCTGGAGAATTTTTTAGCAAAGGAAGGGACCTAGGAACCAAACCCAAGATTACAATACAAAATCCACAAGTGAAGCTGCAATTGTTGCTTCTGCTGAGAAATTATAAACCACCCTGCGGGCTGCGGGGGGCGGGGCGGGGGGTAGGGGCTATGAAAGGAACTGGGTGGGATGTGGAAGACTAAAGAAAATCAAATCTGAGCCCCCCAAATTTAAAGATCCCTGCCTTTTCAACTTTTCTAGAGGGCAGGGAGGTGAGGACAGGGTGGGAGGAATGGGGCGCAACTAGAGCAACTTTCCGTTCTGTTTTTGGTTTTTGTTGTTTTGGGGTTTTTTTTAAGTCCCTGGGGTCCCGATCGCTTCAGTGAATGGGCCCTTTGCCTGGTCTTTAGAACAGTTTCAGGACAAGAGCGAATCCAAGCTCTTCTAACTGAAATGATAAACACAAACTCTTCTGTGCCCTTGGGCCAAGCCATTAGGAAAAGACAAAGCATTATTCTTTTTGTTGTTGTTTAAATAAAATATTCCTAATATCGTCACTGTTATTCTCAAACCTGAATGCTGGGTTTCCTTTCCTTTTTCTGCGGTTCTCTTTGTTTCTTTGTTTATCATTTGCTTTCTCCCCTAAGTGAGTGTTAATGAAAGAGCTAAGTTGCTAGTTCAAGTGTGTTCAACCTGATGGAGCAAACACCCAGCAGCAGCGGACCGCGTTCGCCGCCTGCAGCGCGGGAGACCCTGCGCCAACCCTGGCGAGTTTCCACTCCCAGATGCCTGGACCCCGTCAGTTCCACCTGTCCCAAGTCTCAGCCGTGAGACCCAAGCAGGTGACTTTCTGTTCAGCTCTTAGGGTTCCCCACACCCTCTGATGGGACATTTAAATTGTCGCTGGCCCAAGAGAAAAGAGACCTCCAACAAGTTGGCTGGGCGGCCACCCCCCACCGCCCGCCTTGCCCTCTCCTCTTGAAATTCGTTTCCTTGAGGGGCAGTAGAATGGGTCCTAATGTTTAATTGTGTTTCCTTCCACGGAAGCGGGCATCCTGGAAGCAGTGCCTCTCTTGAAAGTCGATGAGCTTACATGCTGTTCGGATTGGCTTATTTTTTTCTGTCGTTTTTTGCTTTCTGGTTTTTTTTGGGGGGGGGGGTTGTTGCTGTTGTTAAGCAAAAGCAAGGTGATCAGGAGATTGAGGTGAGAGTTGGAAGGAAGATGAGTCATTGAAGAGAAGAAGAGGACAAGTTTACCCCTTCCCCAACTATGTGTCTTTAATTAATGCTAGAAACGACAAAGAACCGATTTTCAATCCATTGCACGCAACAGGAAATTTTCCTTTCCTTGCATTATAATTGAACCAACCCCACAGTGTCTTTGGAAGAAAGTTTGAATTCTTTATGGAGTTATTTCTTGGCCTATTGTCTTTGTGCAGTGAACTTTACATCTTGCTATTCAATCGCAAACCTATATTCTCCTGGCTACCAGCAAGATTAATTTAATCATTGTAATGCAATTATTAATACTGTTTACCCAATGCTGGGTTTCAGGTTGGCTGTTAAGAAATTAAACTCTCGCTGGGTGACCAGAGCTAGGCAGGGGTTTCTTCATGTTGAAATGAAACAGTCCTCTTTATTTAGTCTCAGAGCTCTAGCTTTCGGCCACCGGCTCAATTAGCCAAAATGGAAACAATTTTCATTCATTGCAATAACTCACTGTTCTGGAGATCGCTTTCAAAATATACACTTTATTATTATACGCTGACCTCGGTGGCGTGGAGTGGCAATAAAAGAAAGAGGCAGGGAGATCTATCTAGCCCCCTTGGGCTATAATTATTAGAAATTAATTGGGTTCAGGACCCTGGGTAGTCTAGCTAAATTAATAGCTTGTCTAGTGGTTTAAATCCGAATTTTTAGTCCACAGGAGAGAAAGAAAGAGAGCTACAGACATGAAATGCAGACCCAAGGGACTCCTGAGTTTACTTGCAAGACCCTCATCTATTAAATAGTGTCCAGAATACATTTGAGTTGGAGAGAGGGGGCTGGAATAGGAGGGGGCAGGAGCCAGAAGAAAGAAAGAAGAGAGATGGGGAGGGCGGCTGCGAGTGAGCCAAAAGGTCTCGAGTTGATTTTATTCGATTTTTCTTGCCTGCATTGTTTTCGGGAGGGGTTGCATTTAGGGGTTAAAATACAAACTAAAGATCCCGTGTACTCGGAGCTGTCGTGCCGGAGTAAAAGTGAAAAGGGAGCCTTAGGCAAAAGGAAATTACTGCGAGCCCGCGTGACCTTTCAGGGAGGTAATCAATCAAGTGATCAACAGGGATATTTATCATCGCTATATAGGACTACTTCGTCCTGTACGGGCGGGGCTGGGGAGTTGAGAGGAGGGTGGAGACGCGCGCGCGCGCCTACACGCACACACACGCATACACACAAAAGTTTAGACAAACCCGGTAAGCCTTGAGACAGAACACGTAGGCTTTAATAAATGTTAAGACTGTTCGTTTAGTCTGACATTCATGGAAAACCACACATTCATACGCCTACGCAGGGAGGAACTGCGCACATCCCCGCAGCAGTGGCTGCGTGAAGGTGTTAACTTCAAACAGTTCTCTGTGCTTTGCTCTGAAAGAGAAGCTGGTGGTGAGATGCGCGCCTCAAACACTGGCGAGGCGAGTACGCTAGGGTAGCTCGGCTTCGGCAAGCGGTCTGGGAAGGGGCGCCGCCCGCCGCAGGGGGCACAGGGCAGCCGGGGTGCCCCTCTCCGAGGCGTGCAGTCACCGGGGTCCATGGCACCAAGGCAGCCTCCTGTCCTGCGAAATCTTCGCGTTGCCTCAGCAGCACAGCCCCAGAGCGGCGCACTGGAGACCGCCTGCTCCAGCGAGCACGCGCGGTGGGGTTTTGGCGGCCGCGTGTTTTCTGCCCAGTTACCTTCTCTATCCTTGTAAAAACTCGCTGTTTTGTAAATTGCATTTTTGGTCCCGGATTTCTTAGCAAATCGTTAGGTTTTACAATCCTGTTCCCACCCTCTGGTCGTTCAACAACCCCCGCCCAACCTCAGAAGTGTATATAAGGGAAGAGGGAGCTGGCTTTTAATAATAATGATAATGGTATTAAATAGTCGACTTAAAATCTAGACCCCCGAGGCCCTCGTCCAGCTCGGGGATTATAATCAGCGGTTCTTTCGGGAGAAAGTCGGGCTGATTACTGGCCCTGGAGGCTGGGAACTATTTCACTACGGGTTTATGAAACACAGGTTGGGGTGATGCGCGCCGCCTCCCAGGTAGCGAGCCGCCGCTCCTGCGGTGTGGGAATGTGGGGCCGCGCCAGGGTAGCGCTGGTTGGCACCAGATGCGGAGCTCCCGCGCTCCCGCCCATCTCTCCCGCTGCCCTCTTCCGACTCTGAACGGCGTCCCCCGGCACAGCCTAGTCTACGGCGCCCCCGCCTGGTTTCCCCCGGCCGCAGCAGCTCCCAGTACTCCTGCTGCAGAGGACTCCAGCTGTGCACAGTAGCCGCCTGGGCGTGGGGGTGGGAAACAGCTGGAACGCCCCGGGGAAGTGCGGGTTGGGGTGGAAAGGAACCCAGCACGAAGGATTACGAAGCGATCAACTCCCGGAGTTGCTACTGGTTTCGGATCGGAGAAGAAGCTTCACGGGGCACAAAATCTCTGCCGGTGGAAACAGGAGCTCCGGAGAGAAACCAGACTGCCGGTGCTCATGCCCAGGGAAGTTTGGACCTCCTTGGGTCCCTGCTACTGAACAAAGAATAACCTAGGAAAGTGCTTCTCCAAGTTAAAGTGTATGTGAACCCTCCGGGGATCTTGTTT